CCAATCTCTGCAACGGTTTGAAAGTTGCAGCTGTTTCTGTCCAGTTATGTAAGTCGTGTTTATATATATATATATATATATATATATATATATATTTATATATGGTGAACAGCAGAGGTTCAAGGACAGAGCTTTGAGGCACCCTACCACTCAGGACAGAGCCCTGAGGCACTCTACCACACAGGACAGAGCTCTGAGGCACTCTACTACACAGGACAGAGCTCTGAGGTACTCTACCACACAGGACAGAGCTCTGAGGCACTTTACCACTCAGGACAGAGCTCTGAGGCACTCTACTACACAGGACAGAGCTCTGAGGTACTCTACCACACAGGACAGAGCTCTGAGGCACCCTACCACTCAGGATAGAGCCCTGAGGCACTCTACCACACAGGACAGAGCTCTGAGGCACCCTACCACTCAGGATAGAGCCCTGAGGCACTCTACAACACAGGACAGAGCTCTGAGGCACTCTACCACACAGGACAGAGCTCTGAGGCACTCTACCACACAAGGCAGAGCTCTGAGGCACTCTACCACTCAGGACAGAGCTCTGAGGCACTCTACCACTCAGGACAGAGCCCTGAGGCACTCTACCACACAGGACAGAGCTCTCTGAGGCACTCTACAACACAGGACAGAGCCCTGAGGCACTCTACCACACAGGACAGAGCTCTGAGGCACTCTACCACACAGGACAGAGCTCTCTGAGGCACTCTACAACACAGGACAGAGCCCTGAGGCACTCTACCACTCAGGACAGAGCTCTGAGGCACCCTACCACTCAGGACAGAGCCCCGAGGCACTCCACCACACAGGACAGAGCTCTGAGGCACCCTACCACTCAGGACACGGCCCTGAGGCACCCTACCACTCAGGACAGAGCCCTGAGGCACTCTACCACTCAGGACAGAGCTCTGAGGCACTCCACCACACAGGACAGAGCTCTGAGGCACCCTACCACTCAGGACACAGCCCTGAGGCACCCTACCACTCAGGACAGAGCCCTGAGGCACTCTACCACTCAGGACAGAGCTCTGAGGCACTCCACCACACAGGACAGAGCTCTGAGGCACTCTACCACTCAGGACACAGCCCTGAGGCACCCGACCACACAGGACAGAGCCCTGAGGCACTCTACCACTCAGGACAGAGTTCTGAGGCACTCTACCACACAGGACAGAGTTCTGAGGCACTCTATCACACAGGACAGAGTTCTGAGGCACTCTACCACACAGGACAGAGCCCTGAGGCACTATGAACACTTAACAGTGCCAAACAGTCCAGTTCCATACTGTTAAGTCAAGTTGTACTTATCAAGTTCCTGTTGAAATTCCAAGGTTCAAACCCAACTTAGGTCATCCCGACCTTGATAGGCTGTGATAAAGTTGTTTCAGATAATGTCTCCCGACAACTGATTGAAAATTACTTGAAAACAAGCTGAGTAGTTGGGCACCCGCGGGCCTTAGGAAAACCATATTTGGAAACTCTTAATAATTCATGCTTTTCACGATGAAAATTACTGTATTTTCCGATCATTGATTGAAGTAATTTGCATACGACGGATTTTAAGGTAATTTAGACGATAAGATTATTCCCATTCTCAATTCGTCGTGATTCTGGTGGTTAGTTAGACGCTAATCATTCAATTTTGAGTAGTTCTCAGAGAGCATCATTATGCTGTGGTTTATAGGAGACGTTAACTACCTAGTCTGGGTCACAGAGCCTGTTGGGCCTTGTTCTGTCCTGGTTGAGTAATAATGTTCAGCTTGGTAACAAGGCAATTAGTCTGGGTAGTTTGGGTTCTGTGTAAACTTTCTCATTTATAATTAGTTTTTTGCTTTGTTTTTTATTTGTAATTATTTTTATCCTGTAAAGTTCTTCAGTTTCGTAGTCCTGCTTGTTATTGTATTTTGTAAGTGATTTATACGATAATTACTGCATCTACTACTGCATCTACTACTGCATCTACTACTGCATCTACTACTGCACCTACTACTGCATCTACTACTGCATCTACTATACTACTACAGTACTTCTACTTCTACTACTACTACTACTAATAATAATACTATTAATAATAATATAATATATTAACATTAATCACTAAAAACTGCTGATCATAGGCCTATGGTATGTTGAATAAATATATTGACAAAACTTTGAAAATAATAATTTTATAAAAGTTAATTTATCAATAATAATGATCAAATTCTTATAATATTTAAAGTCTATTAATTGTAGACAAAACAATTATAAATTCTAACAGTATTAATTAAAATGCAGTTTTAAGTAATAATTTAGAGTCAATGTTAATGTATTATGACTATGTTAATGCTACTATCAATGATATGTGTCAATGTTGAAAAATGTTGCAATTAAGTACTAGAGATCAAATGGTAACTTTGACCAGCCGTGAGACATTACTACCTAATCACCTCAAGGGTAATTAGTGTCTTGGACCAATTTACTAACTGGTTAACTATGTTTGAAAGCTTATGGTAAGCAGGTAGGAAAGTGATCCAGTATACATGGCTCATACCTGTCATATGTATATTTATACATACTACCTAATGTGGCTGAGTATTCATAGATACATTCTATTGTGGCTGAGTGTGCATACACACTACCTACTTAGTCTTAGTATACATAGCAACATTATTTAAAACTACTATCCATTTTATATTGAAATATTATAAAATTTCACAAATAATTAAATTATTCACTTTGAAAAAGTAATTCTATATTCTTAACTGAGGTTTTTTAGATACACATAAAATCACTTTCGAAGTCTTTCATCTCAAAGCTAAAAATTAGCAAAGTTTTCCACATATAATGCAGGAATTACATGAAACATTTCCTCAAAGCTTCAGAATACAAGTAGAAAGTTCCAAAGTGAGGGATTTCAAAATGTAAATTTTGAAGGATCTAATTACAGTAATTAATTACAGTGTATTACAGAGTAATACTTTTCGAGCAAAATTGAACTTTTAAAGCTTTAAAATTCAAAATAATAGTTTTCGAAATGGCAGAATAAAACTTATCCAAGCAGCAGAATTCAAAGTACAAATTTCCATATAAAACTTTAGTAATCATAAGTTTCTTACCTGTTCAATCTCTGACATCAGGTTCATCAACTTTTTTTTTCTTTGCATCAAAAAAAAAATTAAATTTTTCCATATAAACTTTCGAACATTAATAACTAGTATAAACTTTCCATTAGGATTCAACCAGAACATTTAAAATGTTTCTTCTTTAAGTTCTGACTTCAAAGAATGAAACAGAGATTATATTTTCAAAACTGTTCACCGAGATCTTTTCTAACTGATCCTCACTTCACCAGCATTTTGAAACACACAGTTTGAAACACTTACACATTCTGAAACACATATGTATATATATATATATATTTCAATTCGAAACACGAAACTCTTTCAAATTAATTTTTCCTTTTTTAATTTCTTTGATTCTTCAAATGTTGCAAAGCTCTTCCAGCCCCGTCTACCAAGACCTGAGACTCTCCTTAATGGGGTTGTTAAAGACAGTTTAATTTATAAACAGTTTAACGACAATTTAAAGGTAATTTCACCCACGCTCAGAGAGACGGGAAGACACAGAAACACAAGATGATTAAGAGGATGTTGACAGCTGTGTAACAGACAGGTAACATAAGCATACAGAAGACAGAAAACAGACACAGAGAACAGAAAGTTGACAGGTGCATAAAACCGACAGATGACATGCCCGAAAACAGACAGGTGGAAGGCACATGACAGACACTGAAAATAGACAGGTGACAGACACTGAAAATAGACAGGTGATAGACACAAGAAACAGACAGATAACAAACACAGAAACCAGAAAAATACAATAAAACAATGAACAAACAAAGCCAGAACGAATGTAGTTGCAAAGGAAGATAAAAAAGAACAGTGGAAACATTACACATATGTGTATACATGGACAAATACATATCACTTCATACAGCAATGTAAGATCCAATATACCAAGATTTTCCGGCAATCTTTCGTGTTCCCCCAACCTTCCTCTCTCTCTCTCTCTCTCTCTCTCTCTCTCTCTCTCTCTCTCTCTCTCTCTCTCTCTCTCTCTCTCTCTCTCTCTCTCTCTCTCTCTCTCTCTCTCTCTCTCTCTCTCTCTCTCTCTCTCGGTAGACAGTCTATGGGAAGGTATGGAGGACAATCATCCTGTGGGGGTCACTTTACCACCATGTCAAGTGGCACTCGTTTCAGTTATGCAAATCCCGACCCGCCCATGTTGGGCAGGTACCCAACAGCAATTACTGTGATAAATTAGGTGAGGCTACCTCCAAGCATCTGGCATCTAACCCTGAACAGATAGACCAGTCTGGGCCGCTGGGCATCCAGTGAGTGAACACGTTGCTAGAACATTATGAACAAAATCTCCTATAAACTCAATGATTTGAGGATTTAATTAGTAAATTGAAAATTAAAGGAAGATCTGCGGAGGTTTTTTTTCGGGCGACGGTTTTTGGAGAGTAACGGTTTTTGGAGAGTAACGGTTTTTGGAGAGTAACGGTTTTTGGAGAGTAACGGTTTTTGGAGAGTAACGGTTTTTGGAGAGTAACGGTTTTTGGAGAGTAACGGTTTTTGGAGAGTAACGGTTTTTGGAGAGTAACGGTTTTTGGAGAGTAACGGTTTTTGGAGAGTAACGGTTTTTGGACTGGGGCTCTTATCTTAAATTGGATTACAACTTGGTTATTTAAAAAAAAGTTGTTATAAATGGAGTTAAGTCAGAGTGGGAAACTGCTGTAAGTGGAGTGCCTCAAGGCTCTGTCCTGGGACCTCTGTTGTATATAATATACATCTAAGATTTATACACATGAGTGAAATGTTAATAACCTTCCAGAGACAGACAGACAGGCCACTATAACCCTCCAGAGACTGACGTGGAGAGTCATACAACAACTGTGTAAGGAAGACTCTCCACAGCCTAATATACTTGACTCTCCGAAGCCTAATATGCTTGACTCTCCACAGCCTAATATGCTGGACTCTCCACAGCCTAATATGCTTAACTCTCCACAGCCTAATATACTTGACTCTCCACAGCCTAATATGCTTGACTCTCCACAGCCTAATATGCTTGACTCTCCACAGCCTAATATGCTTGACTCTCCACAGCCTAATATGCTTGACTCTTCACAGCCTAATATACTTGACTCTCCACAGCCTAATATACTTGACTCTCCACAGCCTAATATACTTGACTCTCCACAGCCTAATATACTTGACTCTCCACAGCCTAATATGCTTAACTCTCCACAGCCTAATATGCTTAACTCTCCACAGCCTAATATACTTGACTCTCCACAGCCTAATATACTTGACTCTCCACAGCCTAATATACTTGACTCTCCACAGCCTAATATACTTGACTCTCCATAGAATAATATACTTAACTCTCCACAGCAGCTCTTGACAACAACAATCACCACACAGGTGTATGTGTTGACCTGCATAAGGCACAGTTTCCACAATTACCAATTACAGTTGGTAATGCCAATTACCGTTGTGGTCAAGTAATATAATTGGTCCTCTCTTTCTCCTCTACAGCAATGACCTTCCAAATACCACACAACCAATTGTACTCGTGGTTGGTTGCTACAACACTTCCCCAATAACATTGAAAGACCAATTACTAATGGTTTTGAAACAAATCCACCAATCTAATTGAAGTAACCATTAGGAATACGCAAATTTAGAGCGGATTAGATGGGAAATTCGTTGGTGTTCAGTTTGACGATAAAAAGCTTCAGTTACATTAAACAAATTGAAACCAAAAGTTTTTAAAACAGTTAAACATTTTCTCAAAAACCTATGACCACAAGCAAATATCTAATTAACACTCCAAGCAGAAAAACTATGCAATTTAAGGGTTCTAAATTGAATTAAAACCTCCAAAATGAAATTAAAATCTATACTTTTCTCATAAAATAAATAAATATACAATTTTGATGTTACTGCAACAATTTAATACTATATTAGTACCGGGTTAAATTACAGATTTTGTAATTAAGTAGTTTATGCCTTTCATCGATAAGTATCACTTAAATGTTGCACATTAAGTGCTAAAAATCTCGAAAACTTTGTATATAATAACTTCTTGATTAATTTCACGTGTTAACAATTTAAACCTGCAAATAATTTATCAATTATTTCAAGGTGTTCCAGAAACACTTTGGGTGTTTCTGGCAATTATTACTTTACACTTTACACTTAATAAACCACATAGTCACGCTCTTATGTATAGTGTTAATACAAATATTATTATTATTATTACAGCAGTGAAGAGACACCAACAACAGTGAATAAAGGAAGCGAGACAGACAGACAGACGATGCGTCATCCAGGAGAGACCCATCATGTCACCCCCCGGCAGCCTCCACCCACCACCACCAGAACACCACCTCTATATATATATATATATATATATATATATATATATATATATATATATATATATATATATATATATATATATATATATATATATATATATATATATATATATATATATCCTCACACGTGTGTGTGTCTGGGTTTTGGGGAGGTGGTAGGGGGGGAGAGGGGGTGGGGATGGGGGGGGAGGGAGTGGGATTGGAGTCGGGGGCAATGACCCCCCCCCTCCCCCCTCCCCCCATTCCCTGATGTCTGGAGACAGGACCCTAAATTCAGGGTCTCCCGGAAGAGGGGGGAAGAACTGTCCCTATATGGGGCCTAAACCCCCCCCTCCCCCGCCGTGAACCCCCCCTCTTTCCCCCCTACCACTCCCCCCCCTCTTTCCCCCCTACCACTCCCCCCCCCCCCCCTCACGGTCTCTAGTGCACCTGTACACTCCCCCAGACACCCCCCCCCCTACTGTGTCACACACACCCAGAACACCCCCCCCTGGCAGTACCGTGAACACTGTCACTATAGTGTCACAACACTGTCTCAACACTGTCACTATACTGTCACTACACTGTCACAACACTGTCTCAACACTGTCACTATACTGTCACTACACTGTCACTACACTGTCTCTACACTGTCACTACCCTGTCACTACACTGTCACTACATTGTCACAACACTGTCACTACACTGTCACAACACTGTCTCAACACTGTCACAACATTGTCACTACACTGTCACTACACTGTCACAACACTGTAACAACACTGTCTCAACACTGTCACAACATTGTCACTACACTGTCACTACACTGTCACTACACTGTCACTACACTGTCACAACATTGTCACTACACTGTCACTACACTGTCTCAACAACTGTCACAACATTGTCACTACACTGTCACAACATTGTCACTACACTGTCACAACACTGTCACTACACTGTCACAACACTGTCATTATACTGTCACAACACTGTCATTATACTGTCACAACACTGTCATTATACTGTCACAACACTGTCACTTCACTGTCACAACACTGTCACTACACTGTCTCAACAACTGTCACAACACTGTCACTACACTGTCACAACACTGTCATTTTACTGTCACAACACTGTCACAACACTGTCACTACACTGTCACTACACTGTCACAACACTGTCACAACACTGTCACTATACTGTCACTACACTGTCATTATACTGTCACAACACTGTCACTACACTGTCACAACACTGTCACTACACTGTCACAACACTGTCACTACACTCACAACACTGTCTCTACACTGTCACAAGACTGTCACTACACTGTCACAACACTGTCACTACACTGTCACAACACTGTCACTATACTGTCAAAACACTGTCACTACACTGTCTCTACACTGTCACAACACTGTCACTACACTGTCTCTACACTGTCACTATACTGTCAAAACACTGTCACTACACTGTCTCTACACTGTCACAACACTGTCACAACACTGTCACTACACTGTCACTACACTGTCACAACACTGTCACTACAGTCACTACACTGTCACAACACTGTCACTACACTGTCTCAACACTGTCACTACACTGTCACTACAATGTCACTACACTGTCACTACACTGTATCTACACTGTCACAAGACTGTCACTACACTGTCACTACACTGTCACTACACTGTCACAACACTGTCACAACACTGTCACTACACTGTCACAACACTGTCACTATACTGTCAAAACACTGTCACTACACTGTCACAACACTGTCACTACACTGTCACAACACTGTCACAACACTGTCACAACACTGTCACTACACTGTCACTACACTGTCACAACACTGTCACTACAGTCACAATACTGTCACAACACTGTCACTACACTGTCACAATACTGTCACTACACTGTCTCTACACTGTCACAACAACTGTCCGTCCGGTCTCCACACCAACAAAGCCAAACTGAAGCTTCAGCCATATCACCTCCACCACCACCACCAGCCTCCACCACCACCAGCCTCCACCACCACCAGCCTCCACCACCACCACCACCACCAGCCTCCACCACCACCAGCCTCCACCACCACCACCACCACCAGCCTCCACCACCACCAGCCTCCACCACCACCAGCCTCCACCACCACCAGCCTCCACCACCACCACCACCACCACCACCTCCACCACCACCACCACCACCACCACCACCACCTCCACCACCACCACCACCACAACCACCACCACCACCACCACCACCAGCCTCCACCACCACCTCCACCACCACCACCACCAGCCTCCACCACCACCACCACCACCACCACCACCACCACCACCACAACCACCACCACCACCACCACAACCACCACCACCACCTCCACCACCACCACCACCAGCCTCCACCACCACCAGCCTCCACCACCACCACCACCACCAGCCTCCACCACCACCAGCCTCCTCCACCACCACCACCACCAGCCACCACCACCACCACCACCAGCCTCCACCACCACCACCACCAGCCTCCACCACCACCACCACCAACACCAGCCTCCACCACCACCAGCCTCCTCTACCACCACCACCACCAGCCTCCACCACCACCACCACCACCAGCCTCCACCACCACCAGCCTCCTCCACCACCACCACCACCAGCCTCCACCACCACCACCACCACCAGCCTCCACCACCACCAGCCTCCACCACCACCACCACCACCAGCCTCGACCACCACCACCACCAGCCTCCACCACCACCGCCACCACCACCACCGCCACCACCACCACCACCACCACCACCACCACCAGCCTCCACCACCACCTCCACCACCAGCCTCCACCACCACCATCACCTCCACCACCACCACCACCACCACCACCAGCCTCCACAACCACCACCTCCACCACCACCTATACCACCACCACCTCCACCACCACCACCACCACCACCACCACCACCACCACCAGGTGTAGATAATTGTACCCCATATTGTACCTCTTTCGACTCAAACACATCAATGAACTTACAAGACAATCCCCTCTAGAAGGAGACCTATGAAACAGGGTTCGAATCCCCCTGGGTGTTCCCGAAGGTGAGATAGAAGAGGAACAATGCTGTTCAGACAGTGTTTGCTTATTGGAGCTCTGTGAAGCCTCCTCCCAGCCTGTGTGGCCGGCCTAGCCTCTCTCTACCACGTCTCCCACACCCCCCACACCCACTACCATAGCCCCAGCACCTCCCTGGCCACCTCACAACCCTCTACCACCCACTTTCCACCCCGTTCGACCCCTCTAGAACCAAATTAGGGGCAGGGAACCCTCCCCAGAGGTGAACATTTGGTGGTGTACGAGACTGAACAAAGAGACGTTGAGAACTGGGAGCCGAGCGTATGGCAACATCTCCGGCGCGCCGTCTGGGTCGTGTCTGGTGGCGCTCCACACCCTGGTGCAAGGCCATGCTCCACACCCTGGTGCAAGGCCATGCTCCACACCCTGGTGCAAGGCCATGCTCCACACCCTGGTGCAAGGCCATGCTCCACACCCTGGTGCAAGGCCATGCTCCACACCCTGGTGCAAGGCCATGCTCCACACCCTGGTGCAAGGCCATGCTCCACACCCTGGTGCAAGGCCATGCTCCACACCCTGGTGCAAGGCCATGCTCCACACCCTGGTGCAAGGCCATGCTCCACACCCTGGTGCAAGGCCATGCTCCACACCCTGGTGCAAGGCCACGCTCCACACCCTGGTGCAAGGCCACGCTCCACACCCTGGTGCAAGGCCACGCTCCACACCCTGGTGCAAGGCCACGCTCCACACCCTGGTGCAAGGCCATGCTCCACACCCTGGTGCAAGGCAATGCTCCACACCCTGGTGCAAGGCCATGCTCCACACCCTGGTGCAAGGCCATGCTCCACACCCTGGTGCAAGGCCATGCTCCACACCCTGGTGCAAGGCCACGCTCCACACCCTGGTGCAAGGCCATGCTCCACACCCTGG